TAAGCCAACAGAACGGGGCATTCCAACCCTATGGTTGAGGGGCCTGGGGTATTCCAACACGATGTTTAATTGGACCCATAGTATGTTGTTATTGTATATGTGTTATTTGTTGTGTTGGTACTTTGAGGGAACTCACTAAGATTTAGGCTTACAGTTTTGGGTTGTGTTTCAGGTACTTCGGATGATCGTGGGAAGGCAAAGGCTTGACCATGCACCTCCTCATGTTGTTTCTTGTGATTTTGGGAAGACTCTGATATTAAACATGTTTTGAAAACTACAATGTAAACAATTATGATTTTGGTTGGTTGAAAAAGTCTAAATTTTTATGAAATGTTATGGATGTTACAGTGGATGTTAAATATCGGTGTACATGGACCATTTTGCTACCAATCTATATGTATTCTCTGATGGAGTAAGTAAGGAAAATGAAAATGAGGATAATTGTTTTGTTATGTTAAACATGTCAATGGAAATGGAAGATGGTATTGATGTAAATGAGTTCTTGAGTCCAATGAAGAGCAACATGGAAGAAGTAACCTATGATGAAGTAAGTCAGGAAATGGAAATGAGGATGTCATATAAGTTAAAATAACAGAAGAAGATGAAGATGACAATGTCCCACATGTGAAAGGTAAAGCAAGGTTCAATGAAGACATAACTTGGAAGAAGCAGTTTCCAATTCTAGGTATGAGGTTTACCAATCCTAAACAATTGAAGTTCATACTTTTTCTTTATGTTGTAGCTAATGGTTATCAATTGTACTATGAAAAAATGAGAGTAAAAGATTATTGGTTAAGTGTTGTGATGGTGAATGCACATTTAGGTTGTGGGCTTCACGTATAAGTAAAAATTAAATTTGGCATAGAGGTGAGTATGTGACAGTGTGTGACAGCTAAGAAACATGTAGTGTCTCTTGTTGAAGGTACCATAGTAGATCATTATGCAAAGTTGTGATATTATGGTGAAGAGATAAAAAGGTCTAATCAGGTTAAACTATAAAGTTGTTTGTTAATTCTATGCTAGATAAGAAAACCTACTTTGCAGGATATATATATATATATATATATATATATATATATATATATCTATATATATATATATATATATATATATATATATATATATGTATATATATGTATATATAGCGTTCCCCTGGCGCGAGCCACGAGTCGAGACACCACCAGGTGGGCCGCACGGTCGGGACCTTCCCAGTCGGCCGTCCTAACAAAGTCTCCCACCCACGGGTGTCTATCTAGCAGAACACTCGTGCAGGAGTCGAGTCCTTAATACTCTTAGCTCCACGACAAATCTTAAGGATTCAGGTAAGGAATAATCTTAGAGCATTACCACCTGAACCAATCGTTAGCTCCAACAAAAGAGGAGCACGATTAGCCAATCAGCACGCCTGATCCTGTCGAGTGTGATGCCCTTGTATTATGTACGAACTAGTAGGAGACCTCAGTATAAAAGGTCTCCTCAACCACCCGGGAAAGTAGGCTATCTCTCTCAGACTCTTACACTCACTCTCATATAATACACTAACCTGACCGTCGGAGCGTTCTCCCGGGATCACCTCCCGGAGAACGGTTGACGGCCTTGTTTCCTATTGTGATCTCGCAGACTACATCAGAGTAGAAAACATCTTCTGTTAGGAGTCCCGGACCGAGGTCGCATCATTTAGCGTCATCCGGTGTGTGACAACTGATACACAAAACCACACATCAACAAATCTTGAAGATGACCAGCGAAACCAGTGAAACGCCGAAGAGCCCGATACGACCGATGGCATCCCTAGAACCAGTCACCGCCCCCGTATCAACACCAAACCAACCTCCGATAATCATGGATAACACGTCGTTTCTTGGTGACCTAACATCACTCAACACACCGATTAGTGAATTATGGCGGCTAACACCGTCATACTCCATGTCGCCACCACATGAGTTTTCAACGAGCAACCAGCAACTAGCGTCCGTTTTCACTCAAACATCCACACCACCAACAATCCAATTTGCCGGCAGACCTAGCGCTTTTGCTCAGAAATCTATATCGCCAACACTCCAAGCTGTCGGTGGACCTAGATCTTTTTCTCAGAAATCCATACCGCCAATAATCCAAGCTGTCGACGGACCCAACACTTTTGCTCAAACATTCACGCCGCTCGTAAACCAAGCTACCGGCGGACCCAGCGCCTTTGTTCAAACATCCTTACCACCAGTAATCCAAGATACTAGCGGATACAGTGTTTTTTCTCAAACATCGTTGATAACTCATACCACTTTTGGATCGAACTCCCCCAGTCACACATCTGCATATCTAATGTTGGAGATGACTAACACACTTCGCCCACCACTCCGGCAATACTAGGAATTCCCAATAAACCAGGCACTCACATTTCCATTTTCACCTCAGATTTTCTATGGAGTGACACCAACACACCTATCAGCATATAACAACATGTTGGTGCAACCGTACATAGCCTTACATCAATCCACCCCCAACTACACCTTGCAGATACAAAACCATGATTGCTTCTCGAGGAGTGTAACATCTCCATTTGCCAAAGAGCTCTTGGACTACGAAATACCAAACATGGAAAAACTACCACTCCAAAAAACCTACAATGGCACCAAAAACCCAGACAGCCACATTGATACATACGAGTGAACCATGATGTTGTTGAAACTTGATGGATGCTTCTAGTGTACATACTTCCCGACGATGTCAGATGGTAATGCAGGAATATGGTTAAAACACTCTGACTTGGAAGTATATACAACTTCGGCCAGTTCAAGTGCTTTTTCCTAAACAACTTCATGCAGTTGCGAAAATACAAGGGAGACACGCTTTCTATTTATAGGAAAGACTCAACCCATTTACACATACAAGAGGGTAAGCCACATCCAAGGAGAACTTTGCACCCTAACATTCTCCCCCTCAAAGTTAGGATTGGATGTCCTGGAATCAGTTTCCAATCGAGCTTGCACGATCAAGACCAACTCCCCCTCGAAGTAACATCGGTCTTCAAATCCGCAAATAAATATTCGAGAAGCTTCGAATACCCATATCTAAATGGGGGCGTGATGAATGTTGGATAGGGCCCAATGTATGTCTGATATGTATGGTATGTGGTATTTTAGGGAAATCACTAAGCTTTGTGCTTACGGTTTTTATGGTTATGGTTTCAGGTACTTCTGTTTCGAAAGGAAAGGGCCCGACTTGATCGCGGTGCATCCACCCATGTTTCTGCACTTTGTGATTTTGGGATTGTACTCTGATAACTATTCTTACTTTAATATGTTTTTAAATGATTAAAAAGGATAAACGGTATTTATGGTTGAATTAAAAATGGAGTTTTACCTTATGATTTTTGGGTCATTACAAGTTGGTATCAGAGCCTTGGTTTGAGGGATTCTGGAATACTCTCGGGTGTGTCTGAACTCAAACTGAGGGTTTGGTAGATTTTCCATAAAAATAACTGTTTATTAAAGGATTTCCTAATAAAAGAAAGGGGTATGGTGTGTGCAATCAGCCGAGCTCAAGTAAGTGATTCCCAAAATACCCATACATGTTTGTTATGTTATATGTTATGAGAATTGCATGCTAGATTAGGCTAAGGATCTGCTCAGGATTTCATGTTAGAGGAGATGCCATGTATGCCTATTGTTTGAGCTTTAGAATTGCATGCTAGTATGGATTTCAGATGGTTGGATAGAATTTATTGATTAGTTGGTACGTTGGTTAGGTTTTTCCGATGTCCGAATGTTGTGTGCTTTGTGCTTTGTAGAACCCTTAGTAATGTGAGTTAACTATTAAGTGAATATGTTAAGTCACATGCTACAAAGGTAGGATAATCTCAGAGTGACGAATTTGGCTCGATTGTGCAGCTCTCATTTGAGTCTAACCGTTGTAGGGTTGAGTCGAAAGATTATCTAATCTTTGTTGCATGTGATTGTATTCATGAAGTAGTTAGCTGACATTAGTGGGAGTTCTTCAACAGCTGATGACAGGGTGAGGTCAAGAACCTAGGAGAGCCTAGAAAGTGCTTTAGTGGGTTAATTATGTTGTTCAGTAGGTATTTGGAGCGCCAGCTTGAGAAGGTGACTTAGAGGATTTGGGATAATTCTTGAGGAAAGTATGGATATGTGTGGAATGTAGTATTGGGCACGTATATTGGAAGCACAGGATCCATACTCGAATCAAGGATGGTCATGGAGAATCTAGGAAACCTATAGGGTGAGAATCTTTGAGTATGTTCTGATTATTGTTTGGTTGCTTTTGAGAATGGTGATGAGCACTCGTGGAGGAGGTTTGGGTTATGGTTCAGGCTCAGGCTCAGGTGCTAATGTTGAGCCGATTGATGAGCGTATGCGAGAGTTCATCTCGTCGGAGATCGCTTGCGGTATTTTGGAGCAGACTCAAGTGATCTTTGGTACGATCAAGGAGGGGATTACGAAGATTATACAGGAGCGTCCGGACGCATAGCTCACTGGGGTTATGGAGTTGTTGGATGAGCCACTCAGGGCTTTCCGGGTCGAGATCACGACATGACAGTTGGGAGTGCGGATTCCCTCATTTCGGGAGTTCAAGGCTTGTAAATCTCCAAAGTTCATTGGGGCGAAAGACCCCATCGCTAGCCGCTGATGGATCCCTGACATGGAGAATGTTCAGTAGACGAGCTTCTGCCCTGAGGAGGAGAAGGTGGGATTTTCATCTTTTCATTTGAGGGACTGAGCCTGTGATTGGTGGGAGGAGGCTGGTAGGGTATTAGGATCTGCGGTCGTGGTGGCCATGTATTAGGAAGATTTTGTCATGAGATTCCAGGAGGAGTTTTCACCAGCGATTGGGGTGTAGCAGTTGGCGAGGGAGTTTCAGGACCTTCGCCAGACTACTGAGACTATGGCAGAGATCACTGCCAAGTTTCGGGAGAGAGCTTTGTTTGTTCCGTAATATGTAGCGGACGAGGAGGTGAAGAAGTTGAGGTATCATGATATGTTGAGGGATGACATTAGGGAGTTTGTGAGCTTGTCAAGGCACAAGAACCTAAATTACATGATTGCTAGAGCCGAGATCGGAAGTTTGACTTGGAGCACCTCAAGAAGAGGAAGCCATAGCAGATTCAGATTGCAGTGGGTCAGGCGAAGAGGCTCCGGACTCAGAATTCGTGTTGGAAGGCCATCAGGGTTGGGGTCGTTGTGCCAAGTGTGGGAGGACCCATGAGAGAGGTTGTCGGGAGAAATGAAGGGGATGTTCCAGTTGTGTTCAGATGGGTCATTTCAGTAGGGATTGCCCTCGTGGATCAGTTCTGACGTGTTTTCACTGCGAACAGGTGGGCCATAAGAAGGCCAACTGCCCGAGGATGATAGGTGGAGTAGTTGGTGTACCTGCTCCAGTTACTTTGAGGATCACTGATGGTCGTGAGGGCAGGGCAGAAACCCCAGCAGTGAGGGGTCGAGTATTGCAGCTTCAGTCGGGAGAGGCCAGTGTTTCATCAGATGTTATCGTGGGTATGTTATCTTTTGTTCTTATAGTGCCTTAATGTTGTATTTATGTGCTTTTGAATCATATGTTTGCATGTGTAAGACATTACCTTCAGTTTAGTTTCTCTCAAATTGTCTGGGTAGTAGTATCAAAGGCCATTATATGTCATTATGCATGCTGATAATTATGAGTGGGGCACGTCGTGTTAAGCTGGATTTGGATTGTCAGGCTTTTTGTTATGGGCCATTAGTGGAAGAAGATTAGGGGTATGCTTGGAAGATCAGTAGTCGGATCAGCGTGTAGTTCAACAATGGGGCAGAGGAAGTTGTGCAAGTTTGTTAACTTTTGGAAATTCAAGATATATGTGGGGTGCAAAGGATTGATTGGGATTTGAGTGCAAGTAGGTAGCCGACGGATCAATGTTCTTAGGACATTAGGGTAGTCTTTACATCAAAAGCTTAAGTAAAAGATCTCATGGAAGTTGGTTGTCCCCTCTTACGACAACGAATTCAAGATTCAGAAGTACTTGTGTTGCTTAGTATGGATGGAAGTTTCTTATCAAAGGACTCTTAGGTCCGATCATTACCGTCACTATGGAAGGAGCGGTGACGAGGGGGTGATGATGTTGGGCGCGTGGATTTGTTCAGTCATTAGATTTGTTTTGGAAATTTCGAATTGTATTGGTTGAAGATAATTAAAATGCATAAATCCTTTGGTAAGTGGAATGTTGGGTTGGTGATATGTCAGTTCCGGTTAAGGGGTTCATTATTCACTACTATAAAAATACCCTTTAATGACACGCATTGCATGTCATAAAACCCATAGATGACACACAAATGTGAGTCAAGGAAGGCCCTGACATAAAGGAAGACGACACGCATTTGTGTGTCATAATTTTCAATGTTTTTAAAAAAATATACTTATAGGCTTACTAATTTTAAAAATAAATGACAATTAATTTCTCATAATACAAAAAAAACATATCATACACCAAAAAAAGACAATCCATTTAACAATATATATATATATATATATATATATATATATATATATATATATTATGTCAAATACAAATAACCATTCCAATGCTAAATAAATGTAATACATTAACTTTTTCATCGTATCATATCAATTCCCCTAGCAAATCACCATTTCTAATTAAGACATATGTTCAGACCCATTTACCTAACACAAATGCAACAGATTCCCAGCTATTCCTCCAAATACAAGCTCTCCAAAAGAACAATTTACATAAATAGTTGAATTAGGGAACCACTTTTGCCTCATGTATTATGTTACTACTTTCAACGCCTCATTACATGTAACATGCACATGAAAATAAATATAGCCTCGTGTATTATGTTACTACTTTCAACGCCTCATTACATGTAACATGCACATGAAAATAAATATATGTGTCTTGTAAATTGATTATTGCCTACTAATATCAGTTAAATAGGGTATATATAAGTGTCTTGAAAAGCATTACCCTAGAAGAAATATATATTAACTAGTCAAGTTATAGATATTTCTTATTTTATTTGAAGCAAAACAAATTGAGTAAGTATTGCAATAGCTTCCAAGTATAAAGAAAATGTCCACATTATCTAATCTGGAAAGATAAAATTAAACAAATATAAAGCAACATATACATAGTTGTTTTTCACATATTTTGTTGTTAGAATTAATGGACTTAATGGGGATTAAGAGTTGATTATTAAAGTTTTGAAGAAAGTAAATAAGTTGCATGACTTACAAATGCCCATACACCCAAGTTTTGCCAAGTTTACATAAATTTGAAATTTGAGATTGTATAAGCTAAAAATAACAATCAACTTCAAATCCTTATTATCATTTCAAAAAGTGTTAATGTCAAAATTCAGTAA